TTCCTCCACGCCTTCTTGTAGAGCCTGTGGAACTTGGACACCTTGAGGTTCTTGTTGAAGGCAACGAGCGGCCGTCCTTGCACTGCGCCATCCTCGGCGGTTTTGGAAGGGAGGGGTTGCTTGCGTTCGATCGAGCTTTGGCCGTGAGGCCAACCTGACCTTGGGCAACTTCAGATGGGAGGAGCGAGCGACCTTTCATTGCGCCATCCTCGTGGGTTTTTGAAGGATGCTGTGGATAAGGAATTGAGACAAATGCTCCTGAGAGATTGTTTTACTCCCATAAAACTCAAAAATCAAAAATCAAAAACTAAAAGGTAGAAAATATTTTTCCTCCCTCTTCTCCAAACCAAAACTGTACCAGTCCTACGCATCTCGTACGTACAGGAAAACAGTTGTTGTCGTTGAAACAGGAATTAAATTTACGCCAACATGAAGGATAGCATCATCAACCCGCCGGAGAAGGACCTGAATTCGATCATGACTGTAGCTGACCAAGGTCAGGGAGGTCTCGAGGAAAAAAAACGATCAAATTCGACCACTCAGTCGTCGATTGCTCTGACAAAGGACAATCCTGCCATCACGACTCCCAAGCGCATCAGCAAGCGAAACCCTTCAAAAACCGCCAAAGATGGCGCAATGAACGGTCGCTTGCTCCTCCCATCTGAAGTTGCCCAAGGTCAGGTTGGCCTCACGGCCAAAGCTCGATCGCACACCAGTCCCTCGTCGATCGCTCTCACCAAGGATAATCCCAATCCAACGATTACCAAGAGTCAACGCAAGCAACCCCTCCCTTCCAAAACCGCCGAGGATGGCGCAGTGCAAGGACGGCCGCTCGTTGCCTTCAACAAGAACCTCAAGGTGTCCAAGTTCCACAGGCTCTACAAGAAGGCGTGGAGGAAAGAGGTTTTCGGAAACCAGGCATTTATTACTTGGTCTTCCCGCACGGCGGAATACTCTGGTCGGGCAATCTCCAAATGCCCTGGCTGGTGGGCCGACGTCAACATGGATCCATCTTCCGACGCCCAAACCTACGACGACATCGCTGCGTTCATCCTGACCGGCCTGAAGGCATACGACCCATCACTCGGCGGTTCGATGCCACAGCTTCGGTCCAGCATGCAGAATCTGTTCTCCCTTGGAGATCTCAAAGATGCCGACGATGACGAAGGTTCCTGGGCCCTTCGCGAGTACTTTCTTCGTCTCGCGACACAGTGCCCCACGGTTGTGTTTGATCTTGCAACGGCCCAACGCGTTATCACTACGGACGAAAAGTCGCCTTGCTTTTGGGAATTTTCGCTCGTGTTCGACCCGACATTAATTGTTCAACGCGCCGAGCCGTTGACGTGGATGTGGCTAGCGGCAGCCGAATTTGTTGCCCATCCTTGGACTGGCCCTGCGATCATTCCTCCCATTGTGGAGGAATTCGAGCGACTAGAAAGAGAGTCGAAAATATCCAAGGCTCAGTCCAAGTCTAAGAAGCGCCCTGCATCGACTCCAGAGAATCCAAAAGGTGCCAAGGCACACGATTCGCGCCCGTCCCCCTCTGTCCAGATGCAAACGGAACTGACGCCACCAAAGGGTTGTTCCCAACCCTTCCAACGAACTCCACCTTCAGATGCCACTCCTCCTCGCCAACAAGTGATCCTGTCTGACGCCGTCCACGTCATTGCCGGCACCCCAACAGGAACACAGGAAGCCAGTCTTCCAGCTGACGACGTCGCGGTAGCCAACACCCACCGTGGGAGGACCAGTGCGGAAAACGGAGCAGAGGAACACAATAGTGCCCCGACCTACAGGGACACTGTTGCCGCTCTCCCCGCTCCCACGGTTCCTCTCACCACCGACGAACGATTGATGCGCCTTCTCGCTGTCCATTGGAATGCATCTCCCTTTCGGCACATTACCATCTTCAATG